GTTTGGTTCTAGGCATTTAAGGAAAATTCTGTCCTATCCTTAGCTCACCACGAAGCTAACGAAACTGAGACTTCAGTGCGACCATTGCAAAGAAAATATACTTTACAAAATTAGTTTAGAAAAGTCACTAAACAAACGGCAACCATAATAAGCAGTAATAACAAACCCTGGGGAGGAGGAAGAATCTAATTTCTAAAGCTGCTACACTACAATATTCAACATGTCCAGTTTTCAACATAAAACTACAAGGCATGCACAAAACCAAGAATGTATGGCCCCACACAGAAAAAAAAAAAAAAAAGTAATATAAATGGTTTCTGTGGAAGCCCAGATGTTGGACTTACTAGAGAAGACTATAGATCTGCTATTTTAAATATGTTCGAAGAGGCACTGTTAATATAAGAAAAAATAAGCTGTAGCCTAGAAGTATTTTCAAATCTCATATCCAACAAAGGATTTAAATGTAGAATATATAAAGGATTCTTAAAAGCTACATAGTATGAAAACAACCTAATTTTAAAGTGTGCCAAGATTTGAACATTCTTTGCCAAATATAATATATGTATGGCAATTAACATAAAAATATGCTCAACATCATTGTCCATTAAGGAAATGAACAATGAAATATCACTACACACTATCAGAATGGCTGAAACAAAAACGAACAATAAAACCCTGTAATATCAAGTGCTGGTGAGGACATAGAGCAAATGAAACTATCATACATCGTTGGTTTTGCATAAAGTTCTGGAGAATGCAAAACTATAGACACAGAGAACAGATCACTAATTGCTAGGGGTTAAGGGTTTAGAGACGGTTTAGCTACAAGAGGCAGCACAGGGAATTTCAGGGTGATCAAACTGTTCTTTATCCTGACAATGGTGGTGGTCACATGAATCTATACATGTATTAAAACTCACAGAACTATAGTTAATGCTGTACTGCATATTTGAAAGTTACTAAGAGAGTAAATCTTAGTAACTTAGTAAGGTCTCATCAAGAAAAAAATTTTGCAACTATGTACAGCAACATCTGTTAACTAGACTTATTCTGGTGATCATTTGACAATATATGTAAGTATAGAATCATGCTGTAAACCTGAAACTAATATAATGTTATATGCCAATTATATCTCACTAAAAAACTCATAGAACTATGTACCAAAAGAAGTCAATTTTACTTTATGTAAATTTAAAAATTAAGAGAAAAAGTCTACAGGAATTCAAATCCCAGCTCCAATCAACTTCTCTTTGCTCCATTTTTCTTATCTTAAAAACAAAACCTGTTTTTCTGTATTGTTAGAATTACATAAGTTCTCAACATATATAAGCACTAAATAGGTGACTGAGAAATAAAATATTATGTTCAGACATGCTAAAACTTGGTACTTTAAAAAAAACCTACGACAGTAGTAAGAAATCTTGATTCCAATTAAAAGACCAAAGAATGAAAGAATATTGGAATTAAAACTCCCAACTCTTCATATCTTCATTAAACTTTCATTGGAAACCTATGAGGTTATCATTCCATGTTACATTTTACAAGGTTTACAAAATCCTTGCGCACGAGGAAGTATCGAGAGGTTTGTCTTAAGAGCTACATAAGCACCAACATTATATTTAACACTAATAATAAATGCATTCTAATTAAGGCTTAATACTAAATGTTCGGTATTATCCTGGAGAGGCTGTCAAATGACAGTCTCCTTTTTCCAAGTCAGGGAACCTTAGAAACGTCGGACTTGTCCCTCTGTGGCACTACATGCCATCGATCCTACGCCTGGTCAATCCTTCCTCAGAAACATCTTTTAGCAGCCATCCTCCACACCATTCCACATAGATAGGATTTGGGGTTTTACGAGGAAGCAGATGCTGCAACTAATGGCGACATTTATCTTCCAAGTTTCTCTTCTTACCTGAAAATTAGCCTCTTCTTCTCGCCCAAATAACCAACTCGGCGGTTAAGCATGAGAAGGATACACAGTTGGGATCCAAGATGGCGGCGCCCTCGGGCCAGGAGGAGCCACTCACACCGAGAAGGCGTGACCCACGGCTGTGGCGCGCAGGCGCAGGCGCAAGGGCGCGGGGCAGGCTGCTGGGGACCGATGCTACCAGAGTAAGGACCTCGGCGCCCAGGAGTTTGAGGCCCTGCGGAGCAGCTTCACCACCCAGGGCAAGACGACCCTGAAGGGACACCGTTTGGAATGATACTGAGTACTGGACTTGGCCTTCATTTGCTGCCCCCTCAACCAGAAGCCTGGCACCAACTGCACTGATGGCGCCAAGTGGCAAACATCTAAAGCTCTCAAGACTGAAAAGAAAACAGGAATATGTGAAGTCCTGATGTATCACAACATGTTGTTTCTTCTCAACAGGGTAAGCCATGGGCAGAATAGAAATTTGCTTTCCATTATTGTGTATATAAGGATTTGGGTTACAATAAAATGTAATCAAGCTAACAAAAAAGACTACATTAAATCATTTTTTAAAATTCTATTCTGTTTGCTAGATATGTGTTGACTATATGTGCCAGACACTTCTGAATTATGGAGCTATAACAATGAACAAAATAAGTCTCTTCCCTCATGGAACTCACTACTGAAAGTTAGAGTGTTCAGGACCAAGCATGGAGTCTGCCAATTTTACCATCTTTCCATTCTAGGAAACCTCTAATGGCCTGCAGGCCCAAAGTCCCATTTGACAGAAGCAGCTGCTGGTGATTCCCAGTTTTGGAATGCTGGCAGCCAGGTGGGTGCCACAGGACCCTACAATCCTCTCCCAGGAAAAAAAGACCAGGGATAGGTCTGAAAAGGTAACTATGTATAGTTTGTCATAGGCCTCTATGGTAAACTGGCATTTGAACCCTGCCCAAAAGGGGCACTCTGCAGGATGGTGGCTGGACAGCCTACTTAAGAGCATCTTTCTTGAGGAGGCTGACAATAAGAAAAACAGGAGAGCCAGTTACTCAGTAACTTCAGAAGCCATGGAAGCAGACCAAGGTAAACTGAGTCACAAAAATGGTGGTGTCACTGACAGAGAGAGTAGCAGTCGTCCCAACTTAGAAAGGAATGTTCTCTATTGCTATCAGTTTCTTAGAGCTATTATATCCAAATGACTTCTGAAGACACTTCCTGTCTTTCAAATTACCCTAGCATCCTTATAATAAGCCTCCATCAGCTGAAGTTAGCAAAACAGGCCTCTATTTCTTACAATCTGAAATAATATAACTATAATGTACATTGCTTTTCAGTTATTTCAGTGATAGCTTCTAATACCATTCTAATGTGAAGCCTTCTTAGGCTATAAGATAACACAGGGGTTGAATAAAATCCATGTATAAAATGCATGGTGGATTCTATTGAGTGTGACTAAAAGTCAACACAACTTATGATGGAAAAGCATAACAATTCAGATTACAAAAAATCACACTGAAACCACGCAACATCACATTTTTAACAAATCTAAGCCAATCTTACCTCACGTAGAACTTAAAAAAATCCAGCTCCCCAGCAACTATTACAAAAGTTACTAATCAGGAAATCATGAGCATGTCTTTTTTTAAATTCCCTAATTGATTTTGATGCCCAGTAGCATTTAGAACCCTGGCACTAAGGTAGAGGTAATTGAGGGTCTTGTGACTCAAAGTGTAGGCCAGGGACCAGCAGCAACAGCGTCACTTGGAACTTGTTAGAAATGCAGAATCTCAAGCTCCACCCAAAACCTACTAAATCAGGATCTGCATATTTATAAGATCTCCAGGTGATCTGTAAGCATATTAAAGTTTGAAAACTACTTTTTAGAGGTTCCATTGCTACAGAATTGTGAAAAATTCCACACCATGCTATGAAGTTGAATATCTCAAGAAATTTCCTGTGAAAAAGAAACAGGAATAGAACAGTATAAGAGATCATGTTTGTGATACTAGGCTTTTCACATTAAGCATCTAATTAAGAGTACTATTCAAATGAAAGTCTGTACATTTTAAAACTTGCAATACTACTGCTTATTCCAAATGAATTTCATTTATAAACTGCGTCTCCAAGTTATACCTCAACTGAGTAACACATATAAATCTACCTAGTAATCTCCAGATAGCTCCAGTTATCCCCATTGAACTAGTAGTGTGTGTTGAGGGGGAGTCCTTCTGAGGAAATAGAGAAACTAGGGGTGCGGTGACGAGTCAAGAAGAAATGATTTACATGGGTGGCCCCATGCTGGGGGGCCCGCCATGTTTTTTTGTTGTCATTTTTTGTTCTTTGTATGTGTGTTTGTGAACAACCCTGTACTAGTGTAAAAGGACTATTTGAAAATAGTGATATTGCCTGAAAAACTAATTCTCCATATGCTGTGCAAACATTTTCTTCTGTGCCCCTTGTTCTTTGCCAGCTCTCACGGAAAAAGCATTTAACTATCCTCCAGTGTAGCAATTCCTTGATTAATATATCTTCAGGAAACTGCTCTGGAACAATAAAAGCAGCCATATTGAAAACAAATGAACTCTGAATCCCAAGCAGCAGCCATAGCATGCATGATAGGGCTCAGAGCAATTGCAAGTTTTTATCTGTTCATATGCATCAGAGTAGGGACAAAATCAACCCCTTTACAATCTGTATTCGCTGAGAAGTATTCAAACCTGGCACTAGGCAGTGACAAAAACAAAAAACTGTTTTCAGATTCTATAGATTTCCTTTTCAGTACATCACACATGAGAACTTGAAGTTTACAAGCATGTTCCCCATAATAAATATGTCAAATAGAGAATGAATAATTCTCTTTCAAAAGATGCAAATAAAAAAGGGGAGGGACTCTAAGTTATTTGTCCAAGGTCACATTATAATAAAGTTCAAAGTAGCAACAAGAATCTAGGTACCCTAAGGGAACTTCAGGTTAACAAAATACATTATAGCCTGGTGGTAAAGAGAGAGAAACAAGATTACATTAGAATTTGTATCAGTTAGGAAGTGCATTCAGCTGCTAGTTATAGAGATTATAAGATAATAGTGGCTTAAACAAGACAGTTTATTTATTTATTTTTTCAAATAAAGGAGGAGGCAGGTAATCAAAAGCTCAGATGATGACTCTCTTATCACTGGCAAAAGTAGATTCCATCTACTTTTCTGCTCCACCATTCTCAGTACATGGATTCCATCCTCAAGGTAACCTCATGGCCCAGGATGTCTGCTGTGATCTACACATCCTTGTTCCTGGTAGGAGGGAGAAGGAAATGACAAAAGCAAAGGGATATTCTATGTAGTTGAGTCCTCTTTAAAGAGCTTTCTTAGAAACCCCACTCAACAACTTCTACTTGCATCTCTGCAGTCTGCAATACAGGGTTCCATTGACTGAGGAAGAAGGAAGAGAATATTGGGTAGGTAAGCAGGAGTTTCTGTCACAGAATCCTATTGTGTCACTTCCTAGTGTCATCTTGAGTAGATTATTTATCCCCCCATGGCCTCAGGTTCCTCATCTGTTTGTCACATCTACCTCATTGGACTAGTGTGAGGACTAAAATGAGAAAAATACTGTAAAACAATTAGAATAGTACCTGATACCCAGTATACAATAAGTATTAACTCATTTAATTATCCTAGTCTAGCACTTTTCTAAATTCCTCTCCTAGTCTAACTTCCTCTCCATTTCCAAAATCGTAAAGAAATTCATATTAGTTCTTTATACCTATTGATAGTCTAGTGTGAATGAGTTTTAGTCATAGAGCACCTCAATCAGACACACAGGTGAAAAATTATGTAAACAGAGCCACTTCAAAATGGAGTTGGAGCTGCCATTCCAGAGGAACTGCCTTGACATCTTACTCCTCAAACCTTTGGAATGCTTAAATGGGCAAAATAACCTTTGAACTGGGCCAAAACAATATTGTATCCCAAAGAACTGTTTGCAAAGCTACCAGGAGAGCAGACGTTATGACTATAAGACTAAAAATTAAAGACATTTTTTAGAATTAGCACCACCATGTATAACTAAAGAATAACTTAGCTTATTTGCACCTACAGAAATTCCTTCCTTGATTTATTAACACCAATGGAAATTCCTTCCTTCTATTTATGTAGTTATTCCCCTTCCCTTTCTTACAAAAACCCCCTTGCCTTCACTTCATAATCGGAACACCACTCGGATTTTTCCACCTGCATCTGTGCTTCACAAATAGCTATATTTTTGGATCTCAAATAAATGTTTGTTGCCTCTCACTTTAGCCTTTTATTCTTAGGTTAACAACATAAATAAATGCTAATAACTTTACTATGTGCCCAGCTGTTTTCTAAGGGTATTATGTATACTAACTCATATAATCTTCAAAACCTATGTAACAGATTTTATTCATATTAACAAATAAAAAATGGAAGTACAGAGAGGTTAGGTTACTTGTCCAAGGTCACACAGTAAGAGATGATTTGAGAAATGAACCAAGATGGTCTGTTCTCTTAAGCTAAAGTCCAGTTGATAGTCACCACAAACTACTTTATATCCTCATTTATCTTCTTTAAGTCCGTTAGTCTTACCTTCCCTAATTCTATGATGTGTTCTTTAAAAGCATGGAAACTATGCTTTTAAATATATATCTTTGTATTCCCTGTATTGTCTGTACCATTTTGCATACATTATATTGATGAGGATAACTAGACAGGTTTTAAAGAACCTGGTGAATGCAGGATTTTTAAACAATGTAAAAATATGTCTATAGTTTCATGAGACTTTTAATAACTTTATCAAAATAAATTAGAAAACTTTGGAATTCTAATAACAATAATGGTAAGATGGTGGCCTAGAAGAATTGATGCAGTTTTAAAACTACCTAACTTATAAGAGCTACAAACTCTGGGCCATATGTTATATGAATCAACGAAACTATAGTTTATGACTTGAAACACAATAGAGGTAACTGAGGTGTAGTTATACTTAGCTGTGTTATTTTAGATTGAGTCTTCAACATTTCTGAGTCTCAATTTACTCATCTCTAAAATGAGAATAATAAAAAGTATCCTTTCTTCTCAGGGTGTTTTTTTAGGAATGAAGTTAAATAAGACTGTGATAGCCCTGCCTAAGCAGAAAAACACTAGATGTAAAGTATTTCTAAATATATAACAAGAAACATACAGGTATAAATGTGTGGAGCATTAATAGCAATTGACTCTTACTAGCAGCCAGTGGGATAGCTTGGGAAAATGTGAACTTTCAGGTCAGACCTGGATTCAAGTCCCCATTCTGCCATTTACTAGCTGAGGGGACCTTGGGCAAGTTGTTTAAATATTTCCGAGCCTCAATCTTTTCAATTATAAAATGGAGAAAATAATACCTACCTCACAGGGTATAACATATAAGAAGCACCTGGTTAATAGTGAACATAACAAATTTTATTCTGTGCCCTCATACTGACAATATTACTTTACTGAAAACACATCGGAGAAGTTATATCAGTCCTTCCAGAGTTTACTGTAAAGACACCAACATATAGAAAGAGTAAATCTGTTTAGTATTTATTAAATCCTATCAAATGCCTACTCCAGGTGATTAGGGTAGGACCTAGAACTTTGTATTCCCTGCTCTTTGGAGAAACAATATAAAAATGCTGTACCTTAGTCAGAGGTTCTCAGTTCTGGTTGAGAGTCTGATGAATGCTACAATCTCTCTCAAAGTTACAAAACTTTTAAGAGACAATATAGGAGAATATCTTCATGGCCTTGGGGTACGGAAAGCATTCCTAACCAGGGAGGACAGTGAGGGGGAGGAGGGACACTATAACAAAAAAAAAAGATTCATAAACACACTTACATTATAATTAAGAATTTCACATCAAAAGAAATCAATAAAGAAAAATTTTAAAATAAGCCACAGAGTGGAAGATATTTATTTACAACACACGCAACCAAAAAGGTTGAGATTCTTGTGTAAAGAACTCCAACAAATTAATAAAATGTGACAGACAAAAAGTATGATATATTTATACAATGAAAATAAACTACAGCTACATATAATTTGGGTAAATCTTGCAAACTTAATATTGCATGAAAAAAGCATGACACTAAAGAATACATACAGGATAATTCCACTCATGAACTTGTAAAATAGGTAAAACTCAATAATATCGTAAAGGGATGCATATGTTATATATGTGCATACAGGTAAAACTTGTACAGAAGAGCAAGGAAATAATAATTTAAAAAGTCAAAAACATGGAAGGAGAAGGGATCCTCAGAGTCTGTTTCTAGGTTACTGACAACGTCCTATTTTTGACTCGGGCACTGTTTACATATACCATGTTATTGAGCTTCACTTTATCGTGCTTTACAGATACGGTGTTCTTTACGAATTGGAGAGAACCTTCCACCCGCAAAAAGATTACGACTCACTTTACTGCAGTGGTCTGGAACCGAACCTGCAATTTCTCCAAGGTATGCATATATTTCATAATTTATAGATTTTATACACTATTCTGAATGTACATTGCAAAAATAAACACAGTTCCACCATCACACATAAATTTAGCAGGGAGAGAAGGAGTTCACAGACTCCCTCAAGTCCATAAACCCCAAATGTATGTTGTCAAGCTAAGCGAGATAAAAGAAAAAGAAAATCTTTAGATTGTAAAGTGATAGGGGAAGGAGGGAGAAATGAGATTTGAATAGGAAAGTGGAAGACTATAAAGAAAACTTAGAAGAAACTCTAAGCCTTTGGGTCAGTTCATACTTTCATTTGGAGAGAGAACAACGTCCAGTACAAACATAAGTAACAAATGCCCAAGCTTGGTAAGGAATGCAATGGTGTCTGAAAAACAGGATAAGTAATGAGGGGAACGAGGAGCACAGCTTGTAAAGAAATGTAAACTGTTAAATAACGTATCCCAAAAGAAGACCAGTAATTTTAAGGTTAACCCTCTACATACTGCTTAGTATCTCTGTCCCTCACCACTCAATGAAGATAGGACACATTAAATGGTTAGAAAATGCAAACACCAATTCTGAGTGAAAAAGTACACAATGTCAAGTCTCAGCAAAATACTATCACAGAACCTAGAAAAGTTTCTGGCAGCCTTAAGAAATTAAGAAACTGGTAAAAAAAAAAAAAAAAAAAGTTACAAAAATGCCACTTCCACCAGCCTTGGAATATACATATATTGCAACTAAGTGATACACCTATACCTGGATCATATCTATTCTGACCTCCAATACAGCTCTTCATAATACAGTCCCTCATAAGAGTGAAGCTTTTTGCTGATGGTGATAGGACTCCAAGGTAGCCTATAGTGTTTAAATCAGTAATTCAGTAGAGATACATTTTGCAAAGTTTTTTCATATTCTTGCAAGAAACATTTACTCATATCCCATTTCATTAGGTCTGGATTTATACTGAACAAAACTATCAATTATTTTCAAAATGGATGATGGTCATGTAGAGAGTCCGATGCCTTATTCTGACAAAAAGTCCTAGTAATTGGCATAAGGAATTATTTTTAAGGTTCCAAGATCCTATTAATGGCATCGAATTGACTATTTCTTCAAGTTCCACTCATTTTTTTTTCTTTCATTCCATTTTCTTGCCTCCATTTGTTCCCGCACAGACACATTCTCTTAATTCTCCAACTCTTAGGCTAAAGGGAGCCACATAGAAAAGCTTCTCCAAGGTTTGATGGTATGTTCACTATATTTCACTTTCTGAAAAGGCTTTAATGAGTCGTTCTCGTCTCAATCTTTCTCACTTCTCTATCTCCCTTTTGTTGTCAGTCCGCTAGGCTTGCTCTCTCTCGTTTTTAGACAACTAGCTTATCCAGTTGGAACCAAAGGCCAAAGAATTTACTCTCTATTATGTTTGATTGATAAGCTGCAGAGGAAGAGAGAAGGGGTGTGGATTTATACTTACTTGCTCTTCCATTTATGCGCCAAATTATTGATCCATGCCTCCTTTGTGTACCCAAAACACTGTATCATAAAAATAATTATAGGCCCAGAAATGATTCTCAGTCCAAATGAATTGCTTTTTGGAATGTTATATTCTGGACTGGGCCAGGGGCGGGGGGCAGGGAGGGAGGGTGGTGAGAGCGGCTCACAAAATAACTCTAAAGCAAGTTCCTGTAGGTGAGCTCCGACGGTGGGAGAAGCGGGCGGGGAGGGCTCCAGTCACACAGGTCCTAAGTTCAGAGACACCGAAACCAGACTAGACTATTAGCACGTGGTTCGACCTGGTAGCCGAAGAGCAAGCAAACCTATCGAGAGGTGTCGTTCTCCACCGAGGCGGCCAGACCAGCCAATTCTCTACCAGCCTCTGACTCATCCAGAGATAAGTAGATCACCCGGGCCACAAGTGCCAAGCCAGCAGCTCCTGCATTTAGCGTGCACGGAAAATTGGCAGTTTCGGCTCCGGGGGCCGGGCCCTGGCTTATAGAGACCAGTGTGAATGTCCTCAGGCTCGGCCCGAAAGTGAGGATGAGGATGGAAAACCCACTCTCCCTCTCGCCTCCAGGAGGTGCCGGTGCCAACGGGGCGGGTGAAAGCCGCCACCTTCCGGAGCAGGACCTGCGCGGCCCCGGGGCGCCCAGCCCTCGGTCCCGCGCACCTCCTCGCGCTCCCCGAGCC